AGGCGGTGGCTCCGGGCGTCACTGGCCTGCGCAACCTGGGCAACACCTGCTACATGAACTCCATCCTGCAGGTGCTCAGCCACCTCCAGAAGTTCCGAGAGTGTTTCCTGAACCTCGACCCTTCCAAAACGGAACAGCTCTTTAACAGAGCCGCCAACGGGAAGGCCCCGCTCGCGGGCAGGCTGGCCAGCAGCTCAGCCACCGAGCTGTCGCCAAGGAGCCACAGGGCTGAGTCTTGCGAGCGGGATGGGCTCTTCTGGAATGGCGGCGCCTCCATCACCAAGAGCCTAGAACTCATCCAGAACAAGGAGCCCGGCTCAAAGCACATCTCCCTCTGCCATGAACTGCACACCCTTTTCCGAGTCATGTGGTCCGGGAAGTGGGCCCTGGTGTCACCCTTCGCCATGCTTCACTCCGTATGGAGTCTGATCCCTGCCTTCCGCGGCTACGACCAGCAGGACGCTCAGGAGTTTCTCTGCGAGCTGTTGCACAAAGTGCAGCAGGAACTCGAGTCGGAGGGCACAACGCGCCGGATCCTCATCCCCTTCTCCCAGAGGAAGCTCACCAAACAGGTCTTAAAGGTGGTGAACACCATATTCCACGGGCAGCTACTCAGTCAGGTAGGTGTGTCCATCCTAACCCCAACTCTACCAATCACATTGGAGGGAAGCTTGTGTGTTAGCATTTGGGCTTCTCATGAGTGCCTCCTGCAGGTTGTTGGGTTAATGGGGTAACCAACAATGGCTATAATTATTCATAATGGAGGGTGGCCATTGTACCTTTCATTGTACTATACACTGTGATGGCCTTGTTGGTGAACTTGCCTCCTGTCTCTTTCTGGGCAGATTTTCAGTGTAACTTGCTATATCGCTTCATTTTCAGTGAATGTCTTTACCCTTTAATGATGATACGGATAATCTAATATTCTCTTTATAATTAAGTACCCATGGTTGGCATGACATCTTTGATCAGTTTTAGGAAAGTGAACAGTTTGCCTGTAACCCTGGTTCCATGATATTTTGGAAGGGTATGTATTCTTACTAAGTTGATATTCTTTACACACATGGAAGGGGAGTGGCTAGGAGGATGCCAAAGGCCTAAACAAGCCTCCCTCCTGTTCCCCATTACCTTTCATTTACTGGGTCTTCAGCCATGTACAGACAGAAGCAGTGACTCATAGATAAGGCTTTGTGAGAATATGCAGAAAGAGAATTTTTATTGTGAGAATATGCAGAAAGAGAATATTTATTGTGAGAATATGCAGAAAGAGAATTTTTAAAGTTAAAAAGGTGGGCAACTTAAGAGATTCAAGTAAAACCTCTATACTATGCTACTGAGGTTTGTGTCTTGGCATTTAGGGTTTTAAAAGAATGATGTGTAGGATGGGAAGATAAAGTTTATTTAAGCTTTTAGCATTTTAAAGGGGAGTATTTATGGGCATTTACTTTATCCCTTGAGGGTCAAAGTAAATTGTAGAGAACAATTTAAAGTAGTAAATTGTTCTCTATGAAGAATCAGGACAAAGGTACATCTGGGAAGGTTGTAAAGGTGCATCTGAGGAGGTCTGATCACAGGGTACTTTGAGGCTGTGTGGACAGGGATCAGTGTAGGGGTGCTGCAAGAACCAGGGGCAAAAAGAGAGGCAAGTTAGGATTGCATGGAAGGAGCAAAGTCTGGAAGAGGAAGGAGTGTGAGGATAAGAAAAGCAGACAGGAATCTGCAAATTCTCCATCTCAGACTGATTCCCTGATAACTTGCAGTCTGTACCACAGCATTGAGTCTGGTAGAGCATGCTTTGGGTGAGAAGAGAGAAAGGTGTAGGTAATAACCTCTGTGCTGGATGGTTTTTCAGTTCCAGCTAGCATTACATAGTTAGAAATATATACAGAAGTAGCATGCTCTAACTCTCTTAAAGTTATATTTATTATTAAATATTACAAATAAAATATTTGTTAAGACTGTATACTTAGTTTTGATCAAGTTATGTGTCTTGTATAAAGCAAGCAAAAACATATGTGGGAAGAATGGAGTTATATAACCTGTAAGTCATGTTTTTCATTCTAGGTCACATGTATATCATGCAATTACAAATCCAACACCATTGAGCCCTTTTGGGATCTGTCCCTGGAATTCCCTGAACGCTATCACTGCATAGAAAAGGGGTTTGTCCCTTTGAATCAGACAGAGTGCCTGCTCACTGAGATGCTGGCCAAGTTCACAGAGACAGAGGCCCTGGAAGGGAGAGTCTACGCTTGTGACCAGTGTAACAGTGAGTGCCGGGGTTGGAGGGGAGAGTGGGGGTGTGCGACTGGAATATCAGTTTAAGGTGCTTTTTTTGCCCCTTTTAGTCAAAAGTAACACTGATAATATTGAGTGGTTCTAAAGCATGTTTTAAAGATTTTTTTTCTCCCCATTTTACTGAAAATAAGCATATGGACATTATATATTAAAAAACAAAACCGTTCTGGCTGATATGGCTCAATTGGTTAGGCATGATCCTGTGCACCAAAAGGTTGCCAGTTCGATTTCCAGTCAGGGCACATGCCTGGGTTGCAGGCTCGATCCCAGGTAGTGGGTGTGCAGAAGGCAGCTGATCGATGTGTCACTCTCATATCGATGTTGCTCTCTCTCTCTCTCTCCCCCCTTCTCCCTCCTTCTCTCTCTAAAAATCAATAAAAATATTTTTAAACAAACCTAGGAGTGGTGCCTCCTTTGACTTCTGCTGTGATTGACATTAGCTGTTATTTTGGGAGGCATTTGAACGTATGGATCCTGAAATGGGGACTCTAAGAATGTGAATACTTCATAGTACTGCAGAGGTCCTCATGAAACTCATGAATGTAGAATCTGACAGATCTTATTTAAGTTCAGGTGGCATAGCCTGTTGGAGGGCTGTGGCATCAGAAAAGTGTACTTTGGTATTGAATTTGTAGATTTAAAGTGTTAGGAGTGGTGCTGCAGGTCTGCACAATAAGATCAAGGAAGCAAATCGTAGGGTGCATTGCTCTCTGGAAGTACATTCTGCACTTGTTTCTTCACATGCTTGAAAGGTTGGCATTTTGGAGGCCGTCAAAAGGAAGTATTTCTCTATCATGACATTAATTTAAAATGTTTAATTTTTTTAAATCCTCACCCGAGGATATGTTTTATTGATTGATTGATCGATAAATAAATAGATAGGGGAGGAGGGAGAGAGAAAGAGAGAGAGAACCATTGATATGAGAAACATTGATTGATTGCCTCCTGTACACTCCCGACCGAGGATCAAACCTGCAACTATTTTGGTGTATGGGACCATGCTCCAACCAACGGAGCCACCCAGCCAGGGCTTGTGGCTTTAATTTAAAAGTGGAACTCATCCTCGCTGGTTTGGCTCAGTGGATAGAGCGTTGGCCTGCGGACCAAAGCGTCCCAGGTTCGATTCAAGGGCATGTACCTTGATTGCAGGCTCCTCTCCGGCCCAGGCTCTGTTCAGGGCTTGTGCACGAGGCAACCAATTGATGTGTTTCTCTCACATCGATGTTTCTGTCTTTCCCTCTCTGACTCTCCCTAAAAATCAATGGAAAAATATCCTCGGGTGAGGATTAACAACAAGAAAAAAAGTGGGACCTTTTCCATGTGGTTACGTGGGCATCTTATGCAGGGCCCCTTCTGTCTTGCCACACTAAAGCTCAATACTCTGTTAACTCAGCATATACAGAGGAAATGCAGAGCAGATGTTTAGAAGCTCATGTTTGGGTTTTTTGGCATATAAGGATTTGGAAACTAAAATTAATGGATTGTGCAGAGATGTAGAAATCAACTTGCAGCCATATAATACAAGTTTTGTGAACAAAAACCTTAATATATTATTTGCATACGGTTTTTTTAAAATAGCAAATTGTGGGAAACCTGTTGTCTATGAAGAATCAGGACAAAAATCAAAAGTAATACTTGATGTTATTTTGCTATTTTAAAATAAAAATTGAAATGCTATACTTGGTTAACTGTAGACTCACATGACCTGTTTCCCATTATATATAAAGGCAGTGACTTAAATGATCTTATTAGAGCAGTATCAGTTTTGTTTTTAAATATTGATTCATAAGCCTTTTACTTGTAAGGAACAGCAAAAGGATGTTAACAGCTTTAATTTCATCATTCTCAGACATGATAGATAAGGCAAGAAATACTTTTATTTATTTTTGCAAGAAAGGGTTGTTTTTCTGGTTTCCAGATGTTCCAGTTTACCAGGATTTCTCTAGGCAAGTTCAAATAATAGCAGGGAAGGAAAGCTATGGCAAAGGGATGAAATGAATTGATCTTTTGCTTTTGAATTTTCAAAACTATCAGCTTTCTACCTCTCTGTGTGGCCAGCTTAATCAAATGGAGACGGAACTGATCAATCTCAATTGAATCAGTAATTTCTTTTTCTTTGTGAATTTCATTTTAAGGAAACAAAGCCAGATTCTATGGTCTTCATCTTAGCTCACACACTCCCTCTGCTGACAGTGGCAGTCACTGCCAGGATTACCAGGCAGAGCTGCAATAATTTTTAAAATCTGCTGGTGAATGGGAATGTAAAATAAGGCCAGGCCCTGCTCTGAATTCTCTTTCTGTTCATGCCTCCACATATCATGACCGCCAGCCCTACTAAATGCGATGGCACATTCATTCTGCAGCAGTCTATTAGAGAAGCTACCGCTCCACATTCTACTGTCACAGAAAGCTCCATGATACATCATCTGCTTGTGATTTGCTACCTTTCACGAGTGGTCTAGAGAGGACTTGGAATCAGATCCCAAGCTCTTCAGACACTGAGACCATGATATCAACAGCTCAGAGACAGTCAGCAAGCAGCACAAGTGGACCACTAATTTTACATTCCCATCCATTCACCGATTTAATTAATAGCAGAGCAGTCATCAGTAAATAGTTTTAGAGAAGGTTTCTAAAGGACAATAAGAGAACTTTATTTCCATTGTTTATTTACTGTAACTAAAAAATGCATATCCTAAAATTCAGTGGCTTTAGAAACAAAATTGAAGTCTGAACACTGATTCTGCTTTGGACTGGGTGAATTTGTCCAGCATGTCCAACAGTGTGCTTTTATCCAAGAAACATGTTTCAGAAACTAGGTACAGCATAAAAATATAAAACCAGAAAAGGTTATTTTCTAAATATTTGTATATGCCACAAGCATATCATGTTGGAGGGGAAAAATCTGTGTAAATACTTTGTCCTTTAGTAATACTGTATCCTCTTTCCTTTTTTTTTAAGCCTGAAATACATGCAGCATTCCCCATTTTACAGGAGAGCAAACTGAGATTCAGAATTTGAATAACTTGTCCAATAGCATACAACTATCTATGAACAGGAAATAGAATTAGGCCTTTCTGATGAAAACAAAAAGCCTTTAAGTTTATATTATGGTGCATCATAATTTAAGTTATAAATACATATTTACTAGTAAAGGCATAGAACCCTAACATGTGCCTCTGTGCATGTTATTGCAGTCATCTTGTATTATATTCCATTAATAAGCCCATGACATCAGGAGTGTACCATCCTAAACCCATACCAATTTTGGAAATGGCTGATGGCAAACATTTGAAAGTAGAAGTATCAGGATTAGGTTTAGTTGCTGATAAGTCAGATCAAATAACAATAACTTAAAACGAGAAGTAACTTTTTTTCCTTCTGTTATATAATAAAGTCCAAAGGACCTTCCGGGGCTTGCATGGTTATTGGGGATCCAAGCTCCTCCCATCTTTCAGCTTTACTACCTAAGTTCAGATCTTCATCCTCAAAATTACCTCATGGTCCAAGGGCAATTACAACAGTTGCAAACAGTGGGAAGGACAAAGGATGCACCTTACAACTGAGTCAGCCTTCTTTAAGCTGCCATCCCAAGAGTACCACACAATCATTCCTTTTATCTGGGCTAGAACTCCCATGGGCACAGCATGCAGACATGTGGGGCTGGGAAATGCAGTCCTACAGAGGGCCATAGAGCTGCCCCAAATAAAAGTGAGGTTCAAATACTAAGACATAAGAAGAATGCATATTGAGTGGCAAGTCATTGTCTGCCACAGCTAGGAGAGAATGAGATCCCTCACAGTCTGTCTTATACCTTCCCAAACCATATAGGCAAACGACGAAAATCCAATCCAAAACCCCTTGTTCTGAGTGAAGCTAGAAAGCAGTTAATGATCTACAGACTACCTCAGGTCCTCCGGCTGCACCTTAAAAGATTCAGGTGAGCTTGCCCTCGGGCGTCCCATGTGGCTGTGAACTGTAGGAACAGCTGCTTCAAAGGCAAATGGTGAGGGCAAATGTCTTTGCTGTTGGGAGGGGATGCAGGTTCCTTGGGGACCTTGTGCTTTCCGTGGAGATTAAATGAGTCATGCCCAGTGAGACAAGATGTTGGGGCCCAGCAGGACTGGGCTGCTGCTCTCATGGCCCCTTTTAATTGGCTAGCCTGCACCAGGTATCTGTGCTTGAAGGTTTTCTAGCCTCGCTTTGGCTTATATAGAGTCATCTTCAGAATAAAGTATGAGAGAATCTGTGAAAAGGGCAGGCAGTAAACTGTAAAAGATTATTGCCTGAATTGCTTCTTCGGGGATCTGTAGCTTCAGAGTACCTCATGGAACATTCACCAGAAGTATATGTGGACAGTAATTACTACCGTTCTATTAATGTGAAAACCAAAGCTGAAGGTTAAGTTTTCTCAGTTCCCAGTTCTGCCTACCTCTATATATGATCACTTATGCCACCTTTTACTGATAAGAAGTTTATATCTATGTTCTAGGTGGTCTGGCCGTAATCATCGAGAGAAGATTGGGGTCCATGTCGTCTTTGACCAGGTATTAACCATGGAACCTTACTGCTGCAGGGACATGCTCTCCTCTCTTGACAAAGAGACCTTTGCCTATGATCTCTCCGCAGTGGTCATGCATCACGGGAAAGGGTTTGGCTCAGGACACTACACAGCCTATTGCTACAACACAGAGGGAGGTGCGTGCGCTTTACTCTGTAGGGTGGGGGACACGGAAAAGGGTGGTCTGTGCACATTTCATTGCTTTCCTTTTCATCTCTAGTAGGATAATACATACATGTAAATCCAGTTGGAAGAATTATGGAAGTTTAATTCAAATTTTTGATAATTCACTAAATAATAACATGAGATTCTGAAAATTAACAACTGACACATGTAAAAGTGCTTATTAGCACGGTGCCTAGCACATTATGCTCAATGTTAGAGGTTATCATTATTATTAATACTTCTGCTGCAGACCTGTTTCCTTTTTGGTTGTGCAGAAATTATATGACCCATCTAGCCTCATGGAGGTATTGCATGAATCTCACTAGCCTCGGCTTATAATAAAGTTGAGGACATTTTCTGAGTATTCACTGTATCCTTACTACATCCCTTAGCATGGGAGGTGTGGGGATACAAGGGCCCCTCCCAAGTGTTCAGTCCTTGTCCCGAGAGCAGAGTCTCCCATCTGCTGCGCTGGGGCAGGTGCGCTGCGAGGTCTTTTCAGCAGTGTACTGATCTTGAACCCCTCGGCCCTTGGGGCAGCCAGAGTGAGCCTATGAACAAAAACCTTTTTATTCCTTCTAAATGTTCCTTTATCACTCCTCTCTATTTACATATCCCCTTTCATCCTCCTCCTTTTCCCCTCTCTTCGCCCTCAGTCTCTTGGCTGTCTTTGTGGAAGGCCCTAATGGGGAATGAAAAAGTCTGACTAAAATAAGGATAAAAATTCCAGTCAGGTGATATTGTAAGCAGTATTGTGGGGTTTGGTGGGGTTAAAGCTAGTGGTTACAGGGAAGTCTCTTGGTTTCATTTACTTGTCTCCCCTGCACTCCACACCACCACCACCACCACCACCACCACCACCACCAATAGTCAGGGGTTGGCTCTATTCACACTTCTCTGTCCCTTTCTTCATCTCCTGGTTTTGCCTGCTGATTGGAAATGTAAGTTGGTAGTCATTTACTCTTTCTTTCCTTTGGTTTCCTAGGTTTTTGGGTCCACTGCAATGACTCAAAGCTGAATGTATGCAATGTCGAGGACGTGTGCAAAACTCAAGCCTACATCCTCTTTTACACTCAAAGAACAGTTCAGGGCCATGCAAAAACCCCCGAAACCCACCTCCAAGCTCAGGTGCAGCCCAGCAACAACCACGAGGGCAGACCACGGACCTTCCCCTGAAAGGGAGGCACAGATCACAGACTGGCTTGCTTTTAAACTATTGGTGTCGGTACATCTTTCCTGATAGGAAATGAGGTTTACTGCAGGAACAGGTTACTGGGTTTGCCTTACTGGGTCTAGAGCAGAGGTAGCAGGTGACTCATATGCTATCATAAAATATGTAGTCACTTTGTTTTGAATGGATTTGGAAAGTCCCTCCTTTGATAAAACAAATCAAAAGTAGTAACTTGTATGAAGCTTCATCAGTTACTTCTGAATATAGAGGGATCTGGGTAGAGCAAAAAGGGAGTAAGCTGATCACATCCAGCCAGGAGAGCAGCCATGTTTTCTTTCCATTATGTGATTCCCCTGCTAATCAGGGCCTCCTTGCAGCACCAGAAGAATCCTCCTGATGTAAGCAGCCCAGGACAAAGCACATGAGGGGGGCCCTGGGCTAGCAGCTTTCCTGATGGGATTGGTTCCGAGGCAGCAGGTGAAGTCTAAGGAATTGTTCCTACAAAGGAAGTTATCTTCAGGGGTTGAAAACTTGCAGACTTAAAGAGTGGAATGAGATGCATGGAGCAAATTTCCCCATGCAAAATGGGAGGTTTTTCACGTGTCATACCTTCCCTGGGGCTTCTGAGACTGGCATGAACATCCCTTCATTCTAAAGGAGAGGTTCATATAGGGAAGCAATAAACCGGCTCGGGACATGTTCTGTGTAGCCTAAGGACACTCCTGGCTACTCAGTTCGGTAGTGAATCCCTGGTTCAGGTCAAGGTCTAGGACAGTGGTTCTCAACCTTGGCTGCACATTACAATCACCTGGGAATCTTTTTAAAATCCCGATTCCTGGGCCTCATCCTCCGGAAATTCTGTTTCTTTGTTACTAATGTTGTGGCCCCACCCCATAACAAAGAAACAGAATTTCCAGAGGATGAGGCCCAGAAATCAGGATTTTTAAAAGATTCCCAGATGACTCTAATGTGCAGCCAAGGTTGAGAACCACTGGTCTAGGGTTTAGTTTAATAGCCAGTGGTCCAGGGCTTATCTGAATGCCTGTCACCTGGTCTCACCTGGTGCAGCATGTAGCTTTTCTTAGCTCGCAGCTTCTTTCTTGCTCCTGGAGGGCTAGAACATTACTGTTCACCACAAATTTTGGGAAATTTTGCTTTCCAAGGGCTTAGGAAGCTGCCCCCCGTGTGTCTGGAGAGTTTACTGCTGGTGGCTCTGGCTTGTTTCCTCCCAAATCTGATCATCCTTACTGTTTCTTTACCCAGCCAGAGTCCCCCAGAGAAAGCAAGGGTGCCGGGGCCTTTACTCCAGAGCTAGCAAAAGAGACCTTTCTACACGGGGTCAGTTTCTATGTGGAATGAAATAGCCCAGATGGAGACCTTCCTCCTCATCAGGCACCACTGACCTTCCCTTCTTAATCCTTCACTTAAGACTCACCAGTACAGTGAATGCAAACCGAAACTCTTGTGGGATTGCTGTAGGCTGCCTCAGCTTGTCATATGAATGCTCATCTTTTGACTGAGTATGTCATATAAACATTTCAATTCAGGTAGAAGTAGAGTTGTCACTTGAAGGGAGTAGATATGGAAGGGAGTTTGGGGAGGGATGGGAAGTTGAGAAAAGAGAGGGTAACAAATTAGGGTTGTAGCTTTAGCGCTACTGACGAGCCACATTCTGGAGCAGATCTGGAGCATTTGCTTTTTACCTCTTTTGAGATCAACTCTCCTAGGACCTGCCAGACAGCACTGAAATATGGAGGAAATTCAGAAAGAAAATGGCTCACCCTGTTAAGAAAGGGAGAGTTCCTATATTTTAAATTACACTTGCTTTTTCCAACACTGTGAGGTTTCTGTAATATTTAGCTTTTATTTGGAAGCGATAGCGTATGGCATTTTTTATGCTGTTTGGTTTATATTGTCTGCTGCAGGCTTCTTTGTATAAGCTTGGCCTGGGCTCACCTTCTCCTGGACACTGTTTTAAAGTGTCACAGCTGCATACGCTGCCAGAGGCTCTGATGTGAAGCTATACTCTCCAGATCCACATTTTTAAGTCGGAATGATTCGTATGACTTTATGTGGCAATAGAAAAGCCCATTAACTAAAAACAATCTGGGAGAGTAAAAAGAAAAGGAAAATATAAATTGTGCCTCATCTTTCATTGAATGCTATATTTATTGTTCTAGAAAAAGATAATTTACAAATGGAGAAGAACTAATAGAGCATCTACTTCATCCCTTAGGCTGTCCAGGGGGAAATATTTGAGAGAAAAAAATGAACATTTAATGGAAAATTAAAAGATCTTCAAATTTAATTTTTAGAAATAGTTTTATACCAAATATTATAAGGCATATTAAGCAGATTAAAACTGTAAAATAAGGGCTTACCTTAGCTGAACACCCCTGTATCAAATTAACAAAATTGTTCAAAGTGAGTTGGAATAGACACCCATATCAGAATCCTCACTGAGCTGCACATTCATGGAGGTGCCCCTGCAGTCGCAGACTCCTCAGGTACCAGAGGCAGCAACACTAGACGCTATTGAGAAGTTAGTATTTATGAAGATTATTATTAAAGAGTTCCCTGCTACAGAAGTCAACGGCTGTTGTGAGGGAACTGTTCCTTTGCCTTTAATTTATTTACATATTGGAAGTAGATGAATTTCTTAGTTGCATCTTTAAATTGAAACATTCTAAAAGAGAAGAAAATAAGAACCAGGTAGAAGTTGACTAGATGCTGCCAAATCAAACCCAAGTTTTCTTAACTGAACCGTGTGGACCTGCTCTCTCCCGGATAAGTAGTTAGCATCCTGTTCCAAGAGCCCTTAGCAGTTGGCTGGTGTGTTTACTTTCCGTTGTAGCCAGCCAAGATGGATGCACCCTGGCCCTCAGAAAGGATTTTTACCTCAGTCTAGCTTGACCTTCATACTTGTGGTTCCCTCGGAGATGAGCATTCATACTAGCGTAAAAAAGATTAGGAATGCCCTCAACAGCTAGAAACAAGCTCTATTAAATGGTGGGCAGAGCTCTTGCCAGCTTTGATCCAGCCCCTCAGACTGAGGGGGGTGGTGCCACACCATAAAGAATTTCCAGATGTCTCTTTCAATGTTATGAATAAAATTGGAAACTGTAGAAGTGTTAATGTGTCCTATGGACTCAATAGCAGAGTTTATTTTTGTTTTTAATGACAAGGCTTCTAGTAAGTGAGCATCTGAGTTCCCTTCTCTGGCTTACAGTTCTATCCTATTGCAAGAACTCATGGGGTGAGTTGGCTGGCAGTGGGCATGGCCCTAGAGGCCCCAGCATAAGCCTGAGAGAGGTCGACAGTAGTGCAGAAGGAAAACTGGTCGGGTGTGGAGGGTGGGATGTGGGTGGGCAGGCAGGGAAGGAGAAATGGAGTTTGTTTTCTAACTGATAAAGCTTTGTGAACTAATTTTATATAATTCATAAAATTTGGTGCCTTGTACCCAATTATGGTTTGCATGGGATTGAAAAGATTAAGGGAAAGGAATCCTTGTCAAGTGGCATATTGGTCTGTATAGTGTAAAGGACATTTGGTATCAAACTTTTTAAAAGTGTTTCATGTCTCATGTGTGAAAGCAAATTGTTCTTACCAGCAAAATCTGAAATTTTATTGTAATGTTCAAAATATTTGTGATTATTCATGAAATGTCTGCTTTTCAAGGCAGACTGTGTATCCCATTCTTTTTCACCACCCCTTTTATGTTCAAAACATTAACTCAAGCCTTTTCAATCAGGCTGGGAGGGCCACCCCTTCTTAACCATATACTATTCCCCTATCTGGGTTATATCTTAGGAGCGGAAGGTTGCTTTTCCAGCTGGTTGGGAGAGCACAAATGTTCAGAAAAGGCCTTGTAGTTTTTCTAATGCTGGGCAGCTTATGGTAGGAGTCAAACAAACCTTCATTAATTCTAAATTTCTTTTGCAGAAAATTTCAGAAAGCAGTGTAGAACAGTCCCCTGTATGTGAACCTTTGATTTAGGTTGTAAGGCAAGCCAGTGCACTGTGTAATTTGCAAAAGAGAAGGCTCAAACAACCTGCCACAGCCCTCTTTCCCGGCAGGTGCCGACTGGGATGGTGCTGAGTGGCTGTGGAAGGTGAGACCCAGCCTGCTCACCTTCGTGCTGTTTACAGCATGTCCTTTTTACTTTGCCCTTAAGGTTTCCACTGAGCTCATGAGACTTCACCAAAGGGTGTTTAAAAAGCTCACCACTCAAAGCACATTTAATAATTGGGTCTCTCCGCTTAACTACTGGCTTAATTAGGTGAGGAGGTTCTATCTTTGGAGTAAAACCTCCCATGGCCACTTAATTTTTTACCAGGTAACTATGTATGGTGGCTCGGATTCTTTCAAGTCAGCACTACTGCCGACAGCGCCTTCCAAATATGACTGTGAGTTTAGTTTATATCTTTCACATTTAAGTTAACCATTCTCCTGGTCTAGGGCTTTGACTTTAACCACTGTGTACTCATTCAATCCACACATTGCCCTAAGTGCACCATAGCTACTATAGCATCGAGGTAAATGGTCATTTTTGTAGACTCTTTCCATACTTATTCTACTGGCAAGTTTCCATTTAAAATCTAAGTAGGAAGTGTAAGAGATTTTCATAATACTGTGTTATTAGCCAGGGCTGAAAACTGACAGGATATAAACCTGATTTCCTTTGGGGAAAATGCTATGTGTTGGAATGGTGAAAGCAGCACTTTCATTCATAGAATGATTACTCACCGCGATTTTTGAAATTGTAAATTTGGTAGCTTTATTTGCTAGTCTTATCACTTTGAGGAATTTAGCCAGTTTAAATCAAACTTTACCTTACCAGCATATGGCTTTACAAACCAACCAACAGTGAACACTATTACTTGAAGCTAAAACATTTTTAAAAATAAGTTTAATTACAATTGACATACAATATAAGACATCAAATTGAGTGAAATTTCAATGCTTTTTAAAGCTACCATATCTTAATTTTACTGGGTTTTGATTTTTTTTAAAAATTGATTTCAGAGAGAGGAAGGGAGAGGGAGAGATAGAAACATCGATGAGAAAGAAGCATTGATCTGCTGCCTCCTGCATACCCCCCTACTGAGGATTAAGCTCGAAAACTGGGCATGTGCCCTGACCGGGAACCAAACTGTGACCTCTTGATTCATAGGCCGATGCTCAACCACTGAGCCACACCAGCCTGGCTGGGTTTTGATTTTTAACTTTGAAAACATTTATGAAATAGAACTGTTCACAATTATGAGATCTGGTAGCAGACTTCAAGGATGTAAGTTTCACTGTTATAAAGAACAGGAGGTGCTCATACTGGTCTTAGCAGTGGCCTGACACAGGTGGGAAGGGGCTTAGACCTATGCTGTGGCATAAAAGTTTCCTTCCTGGTCACCATTTTTAAAAGAAAATATATTAAAAATCTAATTCTCAAACAGCTTTCTTAATGAGATTTATGCCAGCAGGGTCAAGAGGAATTATTTGGTCTTATTTACTTTTAGTGAACAGGTTGCTAGAGACAACATCTGTCAACTGTAACCATTAGACCACTGCAGTACATTTACGCTGACCCACCTTTCCCATTCATTCCCTTATCCCATACCAGTTCCCGTAAAAGACTTGGCACAGAAAAGCGGTATTTTTTTAAATCCCTAGTAAAGTAAATCAACTAGGAAAAAGTTGTCAAGGGGAACGTGTCACTATCTCCACATCTCTCCTACATGAGTCTTCCAGGCCAGTTCATTACAGATCCCATTTCCAAAGACTCCAAGCTCCTGGGCAGCGACACGACTATGAGTTTCAGTGTCAGAAAACACGTATTTCCTTGTGAAGGAAGCAGTTTTCTCAAGGAGACAGATGCTCACTTCAGTGTCCATCGCCCAGGCTTATTTAACACCTAGCCTCCACCTGCCGATCACTGCCCTTTCCACCAATAATTCCCATTCTCTTACAGCAACAATGCCTCCCTGGTGCCTGGAAAACCCACCTGGAGCATTAACATGCTATGCAACACCAAAAGGATTCTTCCCCTAGTAACGCTCAAAAATGGAAATTCCTCAGTAAGCTTCAGGCTATGTTAACATCAATGAATGGTGGCTACAGTTTCCATTTCTTTTTTTCTTTTAATATGAAGCAAGCCACCTCTGCCACAACCGTGTTTGGGCTTGTTCCTATCTCGTGTGTGAAATATAAATCATGTTTTTATGATTTTTGTAAATCAACTTTTTACACCTTGTTTTTGTAAGCTGAAGTTTCTTATTAAAAAAAACAAAAAATGGCTGTCTTTGTGTACAGTCTTTATTTCAGATAATTGTTAAAATACCATCAGGTTATTCCTCAAGAAAAGAGCAAAGATCAATCTCTACCGAAACTTAGGAATTATGTACAGAACTTTACAAAACAGAGGACAACACGTTAGCTGAAGCCTGACTGCTGACCAGAGAATGAATTCTGAGTAGACCCGGCGAAGGGAAGCAGGCAGGGAAGGGAAGGTAGCCATGTGAATCAAACTTCAGCTGCTATCAGGGAAAGTCTTGTGATGGTCACAGATTGGAGGCTCTGTGTTTGGAGGTTCAAGTACATCTCGGGTTCCATGTGTCTGCAATCAGACAACACAACAGGAGGTGGCATGTAAAAGCAGAAATGTAAACGCAGGGAAATGGGTAGACTCAAATTCCTTCTAACATGGAAACACACGTAACTAGGCAGCTGCCAAAGGTTTTACATAAAGTCTCTCCCCTACATTTTGTGGATAGTTGATAAAATGATTGCTTCTCATGACACACAGACAGTGGTTACCTGCTTACCTATCTGGCTATACCCCTGGCTGAGGTGCCATTAAATCAATGTCACTCAAATTCCTGGCCAGCCAAACTCCTGCAGCGAAAAGTCCCAAGTTGAGGATCAAGTTCCTGGAAAAAGAATTATTCTATTAACCTTGTGGTCAGAGTCCCACCGCCAGCACCTGGAAAAACCTCCCGGAGGCAAACACTTCTAGACCGCGGGAGCGTTGATCACTATCGCCACATCATGACGCGGCGGCCTGTCCAAGACCCACACAGTTATTTAACTGAGTGTCTGTCTAATAAGAGAAGGTCAGATGCAGAGACCAATGAAGCACTCATCTGGGGCCGAACAGCCCGTTTGGGTGCTGGCGCCGCCTCTTCCCGGGTCCACCCCCACCCCGCCCACCCCGGTCAGAGTGACACTCTCCAGACAACAGGGTAACTGAAAACATGGCTTTTACCGCACCGCAGCTCTCCGAGCAAGGCCCTCGGCAGACCACGCCCGTCACGAAGAGG